GAGGGGTGAAAGGTTGGCTATAGTCCAGAAATCTGCGTAGTTTGTTGCTAGGTTCAAAATTTGTCAAACATTTAACGGCAAGACTACTGTATTCGATTCGTTCCGCCTTTGTCTTCGCTCCGCCAACACCACATGTCCACCCAGAGACCCCGAGCCAGCGGCGGTGGGGCCCCCTGCCTAACCCCTGCCCCGCCCCCGCCCCGAACCTTTTTTTTTTTTTGTGCGGGAGGGTCTCCTCGCTGGTGGATGCTGGGGAGCAGGTAGCTCACACGAAATGGACCGATAAACAGCGCGATCTCGTCTATAGGCTTCGCGATTTTTCTAATCGCACGCGAAGCCTAATAACTCATTGCTCTATCATTTTTGGCTGTCAATCATTGGCTGTCAATCAGCCTACATCGGCCGCGTGACTTCCCTCTGGCAGACCAAAATGGGCGACAAACGATCTCTTGGCCGCCGCTCGCGCACACGGGTGGGCCACCGAATTCACACGGCTGCTTGGCGAGTTGGCCTACCCAGCGCGTCGCAGGCGCCTGGCAGTAGCGGCCACAGCTGCCCAGCTGCCTTCCAGCCTAGCCTCGTTGTCCGAATGTGAATGTGCATTCATTCGGATCGGAGGAGCACGAATGTCGGAATATGTCGGTTTCGTCAGACTAGAAACTACCAGTAAACATACTGAAATTGCAACTTTGACAGTGTCGTTTTGCAGTGAAATCATTGCTTTTGCGTACGTCTAGAAATTCTACTCTGACTTTCTGACTGGCGTTGAAGAAAAGTGCTATCACTGTTATTTGACTGACCTCAACGATGAAGCGAGTCATTCTGTTTAAGAATGGCACGGATACGGACGGAAAGGTAGCGGATGTAATTTAATGTAATCGTGTTATTTGCAGCATTTTATATTTAAAAGCACTGTCATCAATTCCTATGACGCGATTGATCAAGATCTGTAATTTCGAATTTTGAATCATGTCAATGAAACCATTTTGTCATTGCCCAGTGAAGGTTAGGAAATGTCTCAAGATTGTCGTAGAATAGTAGTTTCTGAATGGGTAGGGAGTGGAAACCGTCTATTTTCGAGTATTCTCGATCTACTTACTTTCTTGTTGTTTTTTTTCAATTCCCTTGCTAACTCTCCTGTGTCTCTCAAATCCATGACAGTCAAATATTTAAATTGAATTTGTTAATTTTAAAACTTTGATCAAAACTTTTTTGTACACTATCACAGGTATTTCTTGTGACTCATTCTATGGAAGAACTCTTGACTGCTGCTAGCCAGAAATTTAAAGTTAACGCCAAACGACTTTTCACTCCTCAAGGAGGAGAACTAGATGACCTAAAACTTATAAGGTATTAGAAATTTTATGTTCTGTAGTCATGTATTTATTTTGCTCGAGAAATTATCTACCTCATTCATGTGAAGGTTTAACTCTTCGATGAAAATCAGTAACTTGACCTAATGTGAACTACATCAAACATGCCTTTTGCAGAGATGATGATGTGCTATATGTGTCAGCTGGAGAGAGCTTTATCCCTCTTCAACCATGCTTAGCATCAAAGAAGAATGACACCCTTCTTCCTGCAACTTCAAGTACAGCAACATCATCTAAAGATTGGGTTACACTAAATGTTGGTGGTAAATATTTTACAACATCCAGAAGTACACTCGTATCAAAAGAACCTTTGAGCATGTTAGCGAGGTGAGCTTTGCAATTCTTGGCAATTGATTACCTGCACGGTTGTTTTTCTTTTGACGGTAAAGATGACAGAGTTTATGCCTTTTTCTTTCTATCAGAATGTTTGCTGAAGGTGAAAATGGATATCTCATGACACCTAGTAATGTTGATCACAATGGTGCTTACTTGATTGATAGAAGTCCAACTTATTTTGAACCTATTTTAAACTATTTGCGGAATGGTCAGTTGATATTTGATACTAATGTCAATCCGGAAGGTAAGTCATCCACCTTTTTCTGATGTAATTTTTTAAAAGTTCAGTCCACTGATGCCTGATTTTTTTGCAGGTGTACTGGAAGAAGCTCGTTTTTTTGGGTTGGAGTCACTGGTTCCCCAACTAGAGGCCATGATTACAAGCAATCAACGGTCAAGGGACAATCTTCCCTTGAGCCGTAGAGATGTCATTAATGCACTAGTCTGTACTCCATTTACAGCAGAATTAAGATTTCAAGGGGTCAATTTGGCTGGTTCTGACCTGTCGCGGCTAGATTTAAGATATATTAATTTCAAAGTATGTATGGCTATTAGATTTGAGTATGATGAGTTGCTGAACGTCTTTTCACATCAAGGCAATATTACTCCACAGTATGCTTGTCTACATGGATGCCGCATGGTTGGAGCCAATTTAAGCTGGTGCTGTTTAGAACGAGCTGATCTATCTCACGCCCAGCTGGAAGGAGCACATCTCTTGGGAGTGAAAATGTTATGTGCCAACTTGGAAGGTGCTAATTTGCGAGGTTGTAATTTTGAGGATCCAGCTGGTAGCCGTGCCAATATGGAGGGTAAGTTCCTACAGTCTGGTAATTTATTATTTACATCCATATGTTAAAGTGTAGATCTACATTATGTTAAGAAAAGCCACATTGAAGTTATGAGCTTATGAAATTAATATCATTTATTTGATTATTTGACTGTTGTTTATGATAATTATGTTACATATCTAATCTGTTCAGGAGTCAATTTGAAAGGAGCGAACCTTGAAGGAAGTAATATGGCAGGAGTTAATCTAAGAGTTGCTACTCTTAAGAATGCCAATTTGCAAAATTGTGACCTTCGTGCTGCTGTTCTTGCTGGTGCAGATCTCGAGGTATTAATAAAATTTGAATTTTGATTGATTGGAACCAAATTTTACTGTTGTTGACTTGTATGAATACCCTGCTTGATGTTCTTTACAGAATTGTGATTTATCTGGAAGTGACTTAAATGAGGCAAATCTTAGAGGCGCCAATTTAAAAGGTGCTGCCTTTGAACTGATGCTTACCCCACTTCATATGTCCCAAGCAATACGTTAAAAAAATGAGAAGTGGCAACCTAATTACCTGACTGAAGTCTGCAATTTGCAAAAGTAAGATATTATCTTTCCTTCTATGTACTGTATATATAAATGTATATCTATCACAATTGTATGGAAGAAAAATACCTTATTATGCCTTTATGAACATGTAATTTTGAGGATTCTCTGCTCTGGTTCATGTACATTGTAGTTACCTAGCAATAACAACATTTGATTTCAAGTTTTTATCTAATTCCATCAAAAGTTGTTCTTACGTTAGTTGGTAGTCGACTAAGCTGTGTCATACAACACTGATACTTTCATGCATGTTGAGGTGGATTTTGTCTTTTGAGGATGAGGCCGCACCTCTGGTCCAATCACAATTCTTCAAAATTATTATTTGTTTCAAAACCTCGTACCTCGTGTGTTGTGCCTTGTGCATTGTGCCTCATACCTAACAAGATGAAATCCATTTGTTTTAACTTCTATCATATGTCCTTGCTAATGAAGTTCTTAACGACGCAACTCCTGAGCCATGGGATAATCTGAATCACTCATTGCTGCAAACATGATTGAAAATTTAATAATTGACGCAAAATTTCCTGTTGTGGTTGATTTTGTTTATTAGATTCAAATTAATTTGACTCAAGGATAGCAATATTTAACTGTTATACAGAATGAACTTTAGTGCTGGTTTTATTTGATTCTTATTTTAATGTTTTGTTACCTCATGTCTTTCATCTTTCATAACATTTCCATCTGTGGTGACTAAGCAAAGTCACTGAGTTGTTTTTTTTCAAAACTTCTTGTTACTATTTTTGTTAAAACAATGTTCCCCCATTAACCAGAAAAGGTGTTACTTCATTAGTTGTGTTTTTCTATGATTTAATTTTATCTGTTCAATTTATATCACGTGTAAAAATTTAAAGACTTAAAGAAGTTTTTACAATATCCCCCTAGAGAATAGGCAGGTAGAGTAAAACAAAAGGAACAAGTATTTGTTTTTATTAGGCTTCAAGTCTGAATAATTGATTTGTTTCTTAAATCTGTTTTAAATGAAAGTATGTATTTCTATTGATGTGTGATTTATCTTTATGGGCATTTATCTATCTTTAGAACTTTTGAAATATTTTAGACAGCTTAAGGTGCAGAAAAATAGACTTGATTTTGATATGCTGCTTTGCTGTGATTAAACACGCTTCCAAGGGTATCAAGTTTTGTGCAAGTTGTAACAATATGCTACAGATTATATCCACCCGATTACTTTTTGAACATTTTTACAATATGGCTTAAAAGTTAGCTTTTGCTGTTCCATAGGTTAAACACGTTGTACCTTTACTTTCACTTTAAAGTTTTTGTAATTTGCATCTAAAAGAATTTTGATGTTTACTGTACAGTACGTGCCAAGGTGTTTGTTTGCCATTTGATGGCATTTAATTTTGCCTTCCATTCTTGGCATCACATTAAATTATTCCTTTTTAATAATTTGTTAGGAAACTGTTCTGAAGGCGGTTGTTTTATTAATATTTACTTGGATTACAGGGCATTTTGTTGGAAAATACCTTGTCAACAACTTAGCGTCTTTGTAAAGCAGCCTGTGATTTTGTATATGATGAAACATAACGCCTAACTCCTAGAGCAAAAATTTTTTTGTTAATTGAAAACATAACCAAAAAGTAAATTGATATATTAGGAATGTAAGGCTTTTAACTGACATTTGACTGGTAACATCCTATTAACTTTGTCAGTTCTCTTGATAAAAATTACATCTTGCTTTATTTGGTAGTACCATATTCACCTGAATACAAGACTCCCTTTTCCCCCTGGAAATTTGTCTCTGAAGTATTTTTTGCCTTGACTTTGGCTCCTTTAAAGTAGGGTGGTCTTAGACGCGGGGTGGGTCTTACAATCAGGTGAATATGGTATGTGTACACACAGATGGTTGGAACTGTTTGTACATATTTTCTTTCAGAGACAACCTCATTACTGAGGTTGCTGAGTAGGTTACGGCAGGAGAATAACACTCCTATACATTCCATGGTTAACTCTTGCATTCCATTGATTCAGTGTTCTGTGAAACAGGCTTGATGGTCTAAAAATATTATTGACCTTATACAATGCCAAAAATTGTCTCACTACATTTGATACTTGGAAGCCAGATGAATCACTTATGATATACATATATACCTAAGAAATATGAATGTATCTTCTCATGGTGAAAATAGTAAACTCTCTATTGAACTGTTCTGGAGTCCGAAGATTGCTGACATTGCACGTTGAAAAGCTACTTTCTAGCTGAAATTGGTAGGCTGAAGTGAATCTTAATTCTCAACTTTTCTGGATCTTACAAGTTCTAGACTTTTAAACTGCAGATGTGCTAAGGTTGCTAAATATAGTGTGATTGTTAAAGATTTTTTAAAAATCTAATAAGTTAGTCTGATTTTATGAGTTGCATAAATGTATTTGAACTGTGTTATAAAAGTTGTATGTTTATTGATTCTTGTTCTCTGAACGGAATTGTTGTTTTTGTGCTGGAAGTTAATGGAGATCAATCTTGCATCATACATTTATTAAACTGTTGTATGTGTTTATTGTATTCATGATTTTTGTTACATTTTGTTTAGTTACTACTCTTCCCTTTCAATATACCGGATTGATAACAACTCCATCAACAGTGGCGTGATGATATATGGACTTGTATTTGTTTCACAATGTCTGCAGTTGTGATGTGCTACTACTGGGTCACTAGGGTACCCCAAAAAAAAGTCATAGTAAAAAATTTCGAGTGTTCATGTCTTATTCCGTGATGCCTCAAGAAAAAGGCCTCCTGTCAAAATCTGAGCAAAATTGGACAATATTTGACCCTCGCGAAGTCGGTTCAAAGTTTAACATAAGTTTCTTATGGGCGATCTTAAGAAAAAGCACAAATTTGGCCCAGGGCTCAAAATACTTATTGTAGACCATAACTGTTGTCAGAAACGTAATCTACGCTAAAAACCGAGCCAGACGACATGCCGCTTGCTAGTGTAGTCCATCGCGTTTCAAAGAAAATATTTTGATTTTTTGCCGAAATCCGTCATATTTGGCTGTTTTTCGCTATTTTCACCCCTGTATAAAATAAAGACGAGATGGACTACACTGGCAAGCGGCATATCGTCTGGCTCGGTTTTTAGCGTAGATTGCGATTCTGACTACAGATATGGTCTACAATAAGTCTTTTGAGCCCTGGGCCAAATTTGTGCTTTTTCTCAAGATCGCCCATAAGAAACTTATGTTAAACTTTGAACCGACTTCGCGAGGGTCAAATATTGTCCAATTTTGCTCAGATTTTGACAGGAGGCCTTTTTCTTGAGGCATCACGGAATAAGACATGAACACTGGGAAATTTTTACCATGACCTTACTCTTGGGGTACCCTACTGGGTCACAATACAGTTTCCTAAAGCTACTGTTTGCAGAGCAATGGTAAAATTTGAGATGAGAAACAGTTTCCTGCTCAATTTGTAGGGGCCTGTTAGTCTTCTCTCCATAAAGGACCTTACACAAAGGACCTTGTCAGAACACATTATACATTTACTCAGAATTTTCACTTCACACAATGAACTAGCATGCAGTTCAAATGAATGTAGCTACAACATAATGAAGTGTCATAATCATACTAACAAAAATAAGGGAAAAAGAAAATTTACTTACAGGAGAATCTTTATTTGGACATCAGATGTAAAGATGTTAGTAAAATATATACAGGGAAACACAGTACATATTGGCAACAAAATTCGATCAGAGATCTTTAACATGCATTGAAAAATGGACTAACTGAGAAAATTGTCTTCAAAAATATACTACAAAATTGTAAGTTTATTGCCTTACTCCAGAATCCGGGGAACATCTGGTAGGTCCCCTCACTAGAAGGTCCCCCCC